ATATATATATATATATATATATATATATATATATATATATATATCCTTCGAGCATTTTGTGAGAACGTAGAATAAGTTAAGATGAACATAAAAGTCCTATACCGTTTTGCGATATTCGCAATAATTATCGAGATATTAATTGTAGAAAATTTGTGAATGATCATGCAGGATATGGTAAATGAGTTATAATAGCGATGACTGCTGTCGTGTACTTATATTTTAGGTCAAATTGAACAAAAAAGTCTTCTACCATTTTCCAAATAATCACATAGATTTTTAATTATTAATTAAAGAAGATTATTGCACGATTTTGCGTGATAATGCACTTATCTTCTTTAATTAATAATTAAAAATCTATGATTATTTACAAAATGGTAGAGGACTTTTTTGTTCAATTTGACCTAAAATATAAGTACACGATGGCAGTCGTCGCTACTATAACTTATTTACCATATTCTGCATAATGATTTCCCAGCAAACACAATGTTACATGTAACGTACATGTTAGTTGTAATTTCCTACTCAACAATATAACTGTTACATAACACGCATGTTATATAACAGTTATCTTGTTGAGTAGGAAATTACAACTAACATGTACGTTACATGTAACATTGTGTTTGCTGGGTTACAAGTTTTCTACAATTAATATCTCGATAATTATCGTGAATATCGCAAAACGGTATAGGACTTTTATATTCACCTCAACCTGTTCTACGTCTCCACAAAATACCCGGAGGAGACTGTGAGACACCCTGTATATAAAAGAATGTAATCAGAGAATTTTGTGGAATTTTATGAACTGACTCTTGGGATATTCCCTCCTCCCCATTTGGTAGAGGGCGGATCAAGGGATGATTGGAGGAATAACGTTTAGCCTCGTAGGAGGAGGCCTGTGACCGGATGTAGAGACAGGCGAGGCCACTACTAAGGCTCCTGGCCCCTCGCATTGTCTTTTTTTAATTACATTAGAAGTGAGAAAATGCATGCTAAAAATTCTTGCAAAATACGTTAAAATAAAAATATATATCCATAAAGTAACACTTGAAATCGATTAAACTATTCTTCTCTCTCGCAAGATTTTGATAAAACCGCAATCGTGGCTGTGCTTAATAAGCAATAGAGTTACTCTGGCAATAGAGTAACTCTATTGGCGACGTACATGATCCTCCTCTACTATCTACACAAGTTAGGGCGTAGCGATACATCTAATTGTAGGAGATATGGGAAATGAAACTTCTCTCCATATTTTTGGTGCCTCCATGTTTTTATGCTGGATTGAGTTTGGCCTTCCTCGGTTCCAAACATTTAGATGGTCAAGGATCTACTGGTCAAGGACCTTTTCTTCTTTTGGAAGAGGGTGGGCTTGAATACAGGTAGGCAACTTGCTAAAGCGGCGGAGTACAATGGATTCTGTATACAGTTTGTGATCTTCTTTGAGGACAACCCCTCCGTACCCTTACCAATACTAATGCTAATACGTGACAAATTGGTAGATTTAATTCTGAAGGTAAGAATGTAACTAGAATTTTGTAAATACTAACTTGTTTAAGAAACAATTTGTAAATTGTATAAATTGCATAAGAAATATTTATAAATTTATCAGGATCCTAAAGATTAAATAAAAACAAACTTTTCTTAATTAATTTTAACTTTTTTAAATTATTTTTAACTAAACTATATGTCTTTTAAATAATACCTTTAGATTATTTATAATCTATATAGAGATGACATTTCTTACACAATTTACGTTATCTACACCTAAACATAGGCCGGTATTCATAGTCGAATCTTATTTCAAGACCGTCTTAAGTAATGTCTTAAGATGCGAATACGGCTCAGTGATTGGTTCATGACATCTTAAGACAGTACTTAAGATGATCTTAAATATAAGATCCAATGACGTATACGAGTATACATAGACCAAGCATTCCATCTACAAAGTGAAGCCGGAAGTTGGCAGTTTAAAACAGAGTGAGAACGTTGTTTTGCCTCAGTGCTTTCTCACTCTATCGTCAAGAAAAAACATGGCCGCTGTCAAATATTATATATATAACTGTGAAGCTGTCAAATGCTATATATATATAGCACTATATATGCAGCAGTAGTACTATGTATATAAGTATAGAAATAAATGAAGCAGTAGTACTATGTATATAAGTATGAAATAAATAAAATCGTAAATTTCATTAATTTCAATGTAAAATTAATATTTATAATATTGTATGTTACGCATATAAAGAATCATTGCAGAAATATAGCGATAATTTTGTGATATTTTATATTAGTGTAATCGCTCAGACAATATAATGTCTAAAATCGAGACATAAGACGTCTTAAAGATTATCTTTAAGATGTCTTTCAGATGATTTACATTTAAATGTCTTTAAGGCGTCTTAAAGATTATCTTTAATGGCTCCTGCACACAGGATGCGGTAATGCTTGCCGCGCGGCGGAAATTCGCGCGACAGCCAATCAATATGTTGTTTTTCCGTAAGAGCTAGAAAGTTTTTAGGCAGGAACCATAAGACGTTTTATGTCCTGATTTTAGACATTATGTTGTCTGGGCGTGTACAGTGATATGTAATATTTGGATATATGTATTTTCCAATATTTGTCTTTAACAATTATATGTATAAACCAATAAAAAAATGTATAAGAATACATTGAATAGTGTATAATAATTTATAAGATATAATTTAATTACAAAATGTTAATAATTTAAAAAAACGAATATTTATATGATACATATTAGAGGTGAAAGATGTTTGCTTTCTTGGGAGACAAAAGAACTGAGTAATTTTTCATTATATGGTGGAAGAATATAATATATTAAATGTGATGTATAAAATAGAGAAAGGTTATGATTGATAGATAAAATATTGAGATAAAAGAATGTATTATATGCAATAATGTAAGATACAAAAAATCAGTGTGCTGCAATATGAAATGGTTTATATAAAATAATGAAAGAATACAAAATATATATAGAAGATAGGTTTAATAATAAATGAAGAACCTGACAATTTAAATGTAAATTACCAAAAATTATAACATTAATATTTAGACATTCATTGATTTTTAAAAGTTATTAATTTGGTAAATTTGTTTCTTATTCTTTGTATTGTATTGTTTTGAAGTACAAATATGTCGTAATCGTAGTTGTATGTACTTGTATAATATCAATTTTATTAAAATAGTTCTATGGTCTTGCAATGGCACTTGTTCCAACATATGTAAAACATTATCGAAAATATTACTTGTAACATATGACATAGCAAATAACAATGATTATAACAATGTTATAATCATTTCACTAGAAAATTTGCCTTTTTTGTTCCTTTTCAAGTGTCTTTTTATAATTTGTTTTTCTGTTTCTGACACAATATTCTGTTGCACGAGAACAATTTGAATTAAAATATATATTTCTTTATATGTCTTCTCCTGTGTTCCATCTAACAAATACCTTCAATATTTTTATATTCCTTTTTATACATATGTACAGAAATTATACTTCACTTACTTCTAACATTTCCACAGCATTTTCAGAAATCAATTTTTGATCTTGCAAATGCTTAACAAGTGAAGTTAAGGAAACCACCTTCTTTTGCAATCTCCTACATTTTTGTTCATATATTCTTACTTTTTTTCTTAATTTTGTAACTTCTTCCAGAATGGAAGAAATATGCATTTTACATTTATCTTCATCACTGTTGATGATCTCATTTGTACTATGCGAGAAATATTCTCATGTTAATTTATCTATCATATACAAGCAATACACATTACAAATTACTTTTACTTTTTATTATTTTACCTATGAATGTTATCACATTTACTTGTACGCTGTGCTTGTATGATATATGTAAATGTTTCTGGTAATTTATTCATAGCATTCATTTGTGTATTTGTTCCAGCAATTTATTCATCACAAACAAGTTCTGCATGTTTTTCATGAAGATATTTCATAGGTGATATATTTCTAATACTTATATCATTATATGTATTTGGCTGTTGAATGGCCTCATCTTTATGAAAAATATATAATTACATTTTATTAATAAACATTTTTTGTAATTCTCTTTCTTTATCACTCTTTTCATATAATTTTTATAATATAAATTTTATATTTATAAATACTCGAAGTAAATGTGAAATTTTACGTACCATTACGTTGATATTATATTTTCCTTTTAATGGTATATTAAATATTGTTGGTACGGTATCTGCTTTCAAGTATAATTTGCCACTGCCTATTATTACAAAACATTCTTTTTTGAAATGTTGGCTGCATATTACTGATTTATCAGTGCACGAAAAATTACAAATTTTTCTTTTAACACTAGCTAGCCATCGATTTTTTTCCCTGTGTTCTTTAGAAGACTAAAATTATACACATTATCGTTGTAAACATCTTATTGGTGTTTTTACACTGTAGTAATTATATAGAAATATTTTCATAAAAGTTCACAATAAGAAAGACACCTTGCATATTGCTTTGATCTTCACATATATTATACAGATCAGTTTTCTGAGTTAACTTGCTTACATGGAGACATCCCACTGTCGAAAAAACACTTTATGAAATTGTTTTTTATTATTAATCACTAACACCACTATATATATTAATCAAATTTGTTTCGCTAATTTTGTAATAAATAATGGACGATAGTTTATTCTTAAATTATTCAGAAAGATGATCTCTATAATATGATTTCAAGATTAAACTGATTGGAGCTACTTTCTCTATTGTGAATTTTTCCCAATATTTTTACTTAACAATAACTTAACCAGTATTTTAATATTTTATTAATAATACTTTTCTGCAATCATAATATATCAAGTTAAAATATTTATACCTATGGAAGCTAATTCCCTGCATCTTGTACATATATTCCAAGCCACAGATACAACAACAAGTCATTCTTATTATTTTTAATATTTTCCAGTACCTTATATAAAATACTTCAAAACTTTATCAAAACAGAAAAATCCATGAAATAGGTTAAAGTATGGTCAGGTTAAGCTATGGCGCCATACTGTTCTTGACAGTCAATAGGAGAGAGTGAGAAAACACTGAGGCAAAACAATGTTCTTACTTTGTTTTAAACTGCCAACTTCCGGCTTTACTCGCTGCTACAGCAGAAGTATAGGAATGCTTGGTCTGTGTATATACGTCATTGATAAGATCCAATGATGTATATAGACCAAGCATTCCTATACTTTTGCTATAGCAGCGAGTGATTGATCCATTCGTCGCTCTGAAGCATTTACAACACTAAATGGAACTATTTATAGCACTAAACCTTATTCAAGAACTGTATCCCGTTATAGCAACTTAATCTAACCTTTTTCATTTGACAGTGGAATGAGAACAGAATAAGAGCAATTGCTGTGATTATTTATACACAGCATAAAATATTATAAATATCAATTTTATATCGAGATAAGTGAAATATACGGTTTTATTCTTCTAATTCTGTACTGCATTATATATAGCACTTGACAGCGACCATATTCTTTCTATACGATAGAATGAGAAAACATTAGGGGCAAATCAACTTTCTCACTCTGTTTTAAACTGTCAACTTCCGGCTGCACTTTGCGGACAGAATGCTTGGTCTATGTATATATGTCATTGATAAGATCGGATTATGGCTGGTATTCATAGTCCGTTCTTATATTTAAGATCATCTTAAGTACTGCTTAAGATGTCATGAACCAATTACAGAGCTGTATTCTCATCTTAAGACATTATTTAGGACGATTTTGAAATAAGATTCGATTATGGCTGCGTTCGGAGACGTTATTTAGCGCTATGAGCGTAGTCTGTCCTTGTTCAACTTTCAGGAACAAACAAGGATAGAACACACTTATAGCGCTAAATAGCGTCTCCTCGAACGCAGCCTATGAATACTGGCCTACGAATACCGGCTATAGAGTATCATAATTTAGACGCCCTTTGGTCATTATTGAGTGCTTTCCAATTGCTTAACACATCTTGACACACACGTACACAAAATCAGTTTATTGGTCACATATTATCTAAAATATCTTGTAAGATAATATGCAACCAATAAACTGGTTTTATGTAACACAGTGTATGCAACTGGAAACCACTCATTATAAAGTCTTGAGTGAATTGGTGAATGCGCACGATACTAACATGCCTCGTGATAAGCGCGAGCGCACTTACCCGCTGTAGTTCCTGCTTTAACGATATTTACCGACTTCCCCGTCGACGACGGAGTGACAAGTACGACACATAGCAACTCAACTTCAAGTTGCCACAACGCGGCGAGGGCACCACTCTTCGCTGGTGTTACCAGCAGAGAGAAGCATGAGAGCGGCCACCAGCCTGATTTCAATGGCTAGAGTTAGGCGCATTTTCGCGGTAATAACAATAAAATGTGCCTGGTTCGTGCCCGTTGTACTACTGTACAATGATAATAAGTTAGAAAAGGACAGACGTCCAATCGCTCTATTTTTGTCTCACCATTGATAGCGCGCGACGTAGGTACAAAGCGAGCTAGCGGTAATATTATTGCAAAACTAGATCATTTCTCGTCTTTCTCGCGTTGTGTTCTGCGTAATTTTGCGAGGAAAAAAGATTTGGAAACTGGACAATAAATAAACATGCCGCTCATATTTTTTGCTTATTTCTCGGCAACCAAAAAAAAATATCGATGAAATTAAAAGAAAACAAAGTTTTCCACAATTTATCCTGTTGGAATTCAGAGTTTACTAAATACTAATACTAATAATAATAATAATAATATAATAATACTATTAATATCGATTCGTTAAATAAACCGTGGAAGCGTGCATACTTTTCGACGTCACTGGCAGCCTTCTTACTATCGATTGCATTTTTCGCGCATTTTTCGGCAACCACTAAAGATATCAAGGTGACACAAAGACCACTATTTGCCCCACAATTCATCTTATTGGAATTGGTAGTTTATAATAATATGAATAATATCGGAAACTTCGAACACATCGGTTTGAATCGCGGCATAATAATTTAGCGGAAACTTGAAACACCTCGGTTCGAATCCTGGCTTAAGGGGATGCTGGAGTAGATGACAAATTTGTTAAGCGTCAATAATGTAGAGACGATTAAAACGATTTAAAACGTAGAAAATGTTATCTTTATTTACTGGTGTACACTAGGATTCATAAATACCTTTACACTTCCGGTATCTAAAGAAATAGACTTTTTCGATCTGGCGCATCGTTTCTCAGTAAGCGTGAATCGTGATTGCTAGTTAATTGTCGGTTCTTTCAGTAACTAACAATTACGATTCACGCTTACTAAAAAACGATGGGCCAGATCGAAAAAGTCCAATTAGATACCGGAAGAATAAAGGCATTTATAAATCCTAGTATATTGATTTTTTATTATATATAGATATATATTGATATTTAACAACAGATGTATTAAGAGATGATGCATCTCTTGATATATTATCAAGAAATAATCTGACGAAAAGGAAGCCTCCCGAGCCGAAATTTCAATTGGCTATTGTTATGTAAGAATGATCCAATTAAAAAAATTATAAGTTTTTATCAATGGATATTTCATTCATCTTTTTACACAAAACGAAAAAAATCTAAGCTAACATCACCGCAGAATTTAATTAAGAAATGATTTCCTTGAACACAATCTCTCAAAGTGATTATGATTAAAAATACAACATTTCTTGGTAGCATAGACTATGTTAAACAGAAAAGTAATAGAGAAACGATTGACAGAAACGCGAATGCTATGGCCTTTATTCTCAACTTCCTTTTGTCGATAAAAGTGTCCCTTAAAAGTGGCTTGTAGCCAATCAGAAGGCTTATAAGCTATTTTCGTACGCTTGTTTAAAAAAAAAAAAAGAAAGAGCTCAGAATAAAAATCTACGAAGATAAAGGTAAAATCCCACATAGAGATGAGTTTTCGTACACGAATTTTCGCTTTCCACATATACAGCTTTCACTTTCAACTATTCACTTTTTCCCATCCGCAGTTTGAGTGGCGTAATTAATACACGCTTAGATTTATTCACGCGTCGTACAATATTTCTTCTCCCCAGAAGTGATTTTATCTCTATTGAAATTTAATTTGTCGTTTTATCAACAACAAACGCGTGTGCATAAGAAAATATCTCCGAAGAGATAATAAATTGTAAAGTATAATAATCAAATAGTATATATGAAGCATACATAAAGTATATATAAAACATATATAAAGCATAAAAGTAACATATATAGAGTACAAAAGTAGCATATATAGAGCATAAAAGTAGCATATATAACATAAATAGAGCACATAAATATGACATGTTGAAATATACCAGTTTAATGTATCATCAAGAAATAATCCGACGAGAAGGAAGCCTTCCGAGCCGAAATTTCAATTGACTATTGTTATGCAAGAATGATCCAATTAAAAAAATTATAAGTTTTTATAAATGATAAATATGGATACTCCATTCACATCTTTTTAAACCAAACAAAAAGAAACTCAAGCCTTATAGATCCTTGAAATAAATTAAGAAACAGTTTTTTTTAATTTTTTATCAGTCTTTATCACGTCTTTTTGCACATTTTTCTAAGGATTCAACTAGTCAGTACTCTTAAAAAAATGGAAATGCTTGACTCGTTCAAATTAAAATCTCAGAGCTGAACTCTTTGATTGGATCATTCTTACGTAACTCCGGTGAATTGCAAATTCCAATGCTTACTTTACTTCCCGTCGGACTCAATGCGATTTACGTCTACGTGCATGCAATCTACGTAAAGTGACGCTTTGTGTCTACTATATGAGCGTCTAAATTGAGCGCTCACCATTGCGCGTCGTCCCACGGTGTCCAGGGTCCACCAGCCATCCTGTCGTTGCACCTGACACTGCAATGGTCCTCGCGTCCCACGTCGCCTGTAATTCACTCCCGACCGCGGTAATCTAACGGAGGTTTCACGAAAAATCCCGTCTCTCTTGGGGGGTACACTTCGAGTTGCGAATTGCGTATAAAATATCGCGAATTGCGTCTTCGAGGAAATGTCGGCCTTTCTGATAAACGATGAGTATGTGTGACGAATTCAGCAACGGTCCGATCGAATTGTAGTGTATCGCTTTGATACACGCGCGACGCGAATCGCTTACGAAGAAGACAGTATCCGCGAGCGAAGGCAACACACGACGCGAATCGAAAGCCGATCTTGCGAAATCTTTCGACGCGTGGGCGAAGTAATTTGTGTGAAATTCTCACGTACGACATGGAATATCCCTAATGTAACGTTTCGATGGTGTAGCGTAGTGGGGTGCAATACAACTCCGCAATATTTTTGCGGATAACAGCTCCGCAATACTTTTGCGAAGACAATTCCGCAATGTTTTTGCGGATAACAACTTCACAATACTTTTGCGAAGACAATTCCGCAATATTTTTGCGGATAACAGCTCCGCAATACTTTTGCGAAGACAATACCGCAATGTTTTTGCGGATAACAACTCCGCAATATTTCTGCGAAGTTCGCTCGCGATCTTCTGTAAATATGATCCGGTAAAATTCGCAAAACCTATCAAATTAATAATCGCGAACGCAAACATAAATGGAAAATAAAAAACTATGAAAATTATGATGATAGAAATAAAGATTCTATTCAAATTCACGCGAAAAAAATGTTACCGCGTGAGACGTCTATTTTCGTTCGATGGAACCTGACACTCACCGCGTAAGTAAACAAATAACTGCTCGCATGTCTGACTTGTGTACATCGCGTTTTTCACAAGGGATCAACGCTCGCTCGCATTTGTCTCTATTGTGTCCCGCGTTAGGAAACTCTAACTCTAAGTGAAAAACTGAAACTTGAAAATTTTTCGACAATCGTAAAATTAATTTTGCGAGCAGTTTGTATAATCACGTTAGATTGTTTCGCGCCGCACTATATCGAATTTTACTTAATAACAAAGCATAAACTCTACTTTATGAAATGCAATCGCGATTAAAGCTTACGCGAGAGAGAAAATTAAGAAAATTAACTATCGGTGGACGATCTATGACACGGGTGATGTGATTGCGCATTTTCTAAGGCGCAATTTCTGTGGCACAATCTTGTTGCCCGTTGGCTCAATCTCTTTGCGCGTTGGCGC